TGGCTTAAAGACCAGTTCTGTTCGTTTCTTTGTGGCTATTGTCCCACTCACGAGTAAGCATTTACAGCTAACAGCCATTGTATTGTCTTCCCTATTGCTAGGTTGGTGTTTCTCTGCACACCCTTTGTTGGTTGGCTTCTGTCTTTCCGAATACAATTCTTTAATAATGGTTATTATACCTAGCCACTTTTCTTTACAAAGGCACCATTCATTGTGATCAAATAGATTTTTAATGTAGTATGTGCATTTAAAGGCTCTTGTGCTCATTGCTAGCTGATGAGTTGGATGACAGTGAGCTCTCACAATCTGTTAGCTTATAGCCTCTTAAGAGACTGAGTGAGTGAGAGAGGAGGGAGGGGGGGGGTGTTCTAGTAGACTCATACTGTATGTGATATTTTGGATTTATAACAGATTATCTGGTTGGTGGTATTTATTAAACATTTTTTTAATTTGTAATTAATGTGGGATATCAAATGATCAGAATTTGGCATTATAGTTATACCGATTTATTTTTTGAATGTTGGTTTAATATGACAATTTATATCATCTGTTTATTTTTAATTACAAAGTAAATGTATTTTGTGGTAAACTTTTAATTTATTAGTGAACTTCAACATGATTGAATATTGACATTGTTTAGAAAGTTCATCATAGCAAGTTAGCTCATAGTGTTATTCTTGCTCAGATTTTATCGAATTTGTAATTGTACAGCAGAATATTAACGACATCCCTGTTTCATGTTTCCTCATTTAGAACTCATGTTTCCTGCAGAAGCACTATAAAAATAAAGATTTTGGTTTGGAAGTTAATACTGAAAGTTCATATTCAAACAAATATTTGGCATAATTTAAAAAAACAAAAAAAAATCATAAGGCACATACTTAATGTAAATTTTTAATTTTTTAATTTCAAAATATAATTTAATCACTGAGACTTCAGAGTCCACTGTCCTGTGAGCTACAGACTTGCTGGCATATTTTTGAAACTTATATGAAAGGGCCAAATTGAGAAATAATTGGGTAGATATTCCTGATGGGGTCTATGTAATTATAAACTTGACATTGAAAAGATTAAATGCTTAAATGCATATGCATTGTGTTAAACAGTACAGCCCATCTATATAAAAAAAAAAAGGGGTTTATCCAGTGAATTATCCATGTTTTGGAATGGCTTACAGCTATATGGAAGCCCTGCCCTCAGGCCGTACTGTAAATGAAGTATTTATCATTGGGTTTTAATTTTACTTTTTTTTCGCTGATAAGTGAAATCTGCTGAATTAAACATGTAAAATTACAATTGAAATCAATGTTTTACTAAAAATCTGTGAATTTGTAATTTAGTGATTATGATTTGGATTAGTGAAATTAAATACAAGTGAACATTGATGCTTTTACAGTATTGTGCTACTTGATGAGTATTTTTCTCCATTATACTAAGTCTGCTAACCATAACTTTAATCAAATACCTTTACTAATGAGAACTGGAATTGACAATTTATGTTTTCTTTCTACTTTTATAATAATTTGGGTTTCTGGGATTGAAAAATGAAACAAAATTGTTGTCACTTAAAAACAAAAATCTGAAATTTTGTGGAAAATTTTTGTTATATCTTTGATTTTGCATTAGTTTGAATGGAAAAACTATTTTTCTCTACATTTAAATATTTTGCCTGGCGGCATATGGCCATAACTCCTGAAAATTTTACAAATTAAAAAAAAATCTCATTCAATTTAAAGATTCTCTCCAATTTAAAAAAAAATATTTTTAAAATTTTATTCTAAAATTTGAATTTGACACAAACTCTCATTCTGAGATCCTACACTGTTTTTTTTCATGACAAAGCTAATAATTTTCTTTCTGTTTCCTAGTCCATGTAATTGTCCTTGGAAATCCTTGTATGGAATGCAACATTTCCTTATACATGCACTTATGAATTTAAAAGCCCATGGTGAATGGTTAGTTTATTTACAGTAAATATAGACCATCAATTGATCTAATAATATGTACACCAAAATGACAACAAGGATTAACGGAAAAATTAAAATGTATCACAAACAAGATTGAATTTGTGATATTTATATAAAATCCATAAAAAATTAGATAATTTTTTATTGAAATGAAAATTAAAATAAATCACAACCAAGATTGACTTTGTGATATTTATATAAAATATATAAAAAATTAGATAAATTTTATTGAAATTAAAATGAATCACAAGCAAGATTGGCTTTGTGATATTTATATAAAATATGTGAAAAATTTCATTGAAATGAAAATCAAAATAATTTTCTTACAAGCATTATTGATCTTTTGATATTATATGAAATATGCAATAACAATTATATTATAATAAAATTTCATTATTTTCATTCTTTACTATATAAGGATGCCACTAACATTTATTTCCATGATACATAGATTTGATTATAATAACAGATTGCAAACAAACACTGGTCTGAATATAAAATTACAGAATATGTTAAACAAGCATGTCATATAATATATAGATTGTGGTTATAATAGCTGGTTTCTCTGATCTGAGATTTATGTTTAATTTAAAAAATCTTAACACATCGCCCGTTAATGCTGTTTTTTCACATTCATTTCATCTATTCGGGGGGGGGGACTTTCAGCAGGCAACGTGTTAAAAAAGTCTTTTCATTTGATGGTAGGTTAACTGCCTTTTTTTAAATTATATTTCCATCATTTGTCATGCAAAGCAGTGATAGGAAAAAGCACTTGGCAAGAGAGTTGGCATATATTACATCATGTCATGTTGCACTCGACCATTCAATACAATAGCTTGAAGCATAACAAACTAGTACTGGTGTGCATGGCCTGATTGTGGTGGAGTTTCCTTAACAGATGGGTAGCTTCTGGTGTTACCGTTCCTTGCAGCTGTCATTCCACACTTCTAAATACACACTGCCTTTCTTTAAAGAGAGTAGAAACCACACACATTTGTTATGCAGGTTGCCACACAAATCATTTCAAGTCAGAATCCGTATTAATTTACATAAGGAGTTTTATATTTAACTGTCACTTTTATTCACGTACATCTTCTTGGCTTGATACATTGTATGCATTAGTTTTATATGATTGGATATGATTTGACAACAAGTACCGGTAGGTTTCTCTACAATTTAGTTTTAAAATTTCTTGTGTTTTTAAAAGTTAACCCAGAAGACAAATATTTTATTAGCTCCGCTGTCGACTTTGTCGAGCGGAGCTTATCATATGAGTGATTGTCCGTCGTCGTCGTCTGTCGTCGTCCGTCGTCCGTCGTCCGTGTCAATGTTTTACTTTTTCGACTTCTTCTTGAAAACTACAAGCCTAAATGCTTTGATACTTGGTGTATATGTACCTTGGGTAGACCTCTCTTAGGTTTGTTCATTTCATGTTGATATCTTTAATTCTCTAATTTTGATGAATATTTTTGTCATTTTTGGTAAAAACTGATATTTTCGACTTCTTGTTAAAAACCGCAAGTGCAATTGCTTTGATATTACATCTATAGGTACTACATGTGGACCTCTCTCAGATTTGTTCATTTTGTAATGATGTCTTTAATTCTTTAATTTTGGTGATTATTTTTGTCATTTTTGGTAAAAACTGATATTTTCGACTTCTTGTTAAAAACCGCAAGTGCAAATGCTTTGATATTACATATATAGGTACTACATGTGGACCTCTCTCAGATTTGTTCATTTTGTAATGATATCTTTAATTCTCTAATTTTGGTGAATATTTTTGTCATTTTTGGTAAAAACTGATATTTTCGACTTCTTGTTAAAAATTGCAAGTCCAATTGCTTTGATACTACATATATATGTACTACATGTGGACCTCTCTCAGATTTGTTTATTTCGTGATGATATCTTCAATTCTCTAATTTTGGTGAATATTTTTGTCATTTTTGGTAAAAAGTGATA